CATCTTTCATTCTAGTATCAGTACCTTACTATTTGCGTTGTTGTATCGATCAAGGTGTCGCACCCCGGTTTGATATGGTGAGGTCGGTCATAGGGTGATGGGTTAGATCGAGGTAGTTCTACAGAATACCAAGATGATTCACCAGATCAGACAGTGGTTGCAAACCGAATAGAGTCGGTAGAAGAGTTATGTGGACCGGCACCGATCTGAGTTGGAATTTCAAGTCGGTGACATGGTACTCCTGAAGGTCTAACTCTGGAAGGCTGTGGTTTGCTTCAGGAAGAAGGAGAAGTTGGGTCCCCAAAACATCGGACCATTCAGGATCATTAACATGGTTGGCAAGGTGGCATATATGCTAGATCTTCCGGATGAGCATAGTCAGGTCCACAGCACTTTCCGTGTGTCACAGTTGCGAAAGTGCATTGCAGATGCAGGGTAAGTGGTATCATTAGATGATATTTAGGTCGATAAGCGCCTGAAATACGTGGAGAGGCCAGTAGTCGTTCTAGAGAGGAAGATAAAATCTACGTAACAAGGAGGTACCTTTGGTAAAGGTACAGTAGGAGAACAAGAGGGGATCCGAGAGGACATGAGAGCCAGAGGAAGAGATACGGGAGCACTACCCAGACTTGTTCGCCACAACAAACTTCGATGACGAAGTCAAGTTCAAGTGGGGGACAATTGTAACACCCCAACTCCTAGGTACAAGTTCTAAGCATTTTATGGCATAATTATGGACCTACTCGACGAGTTGGTTGCCTCGAATCTTTAGGTAGAGGTGGGTTAGCCGTTTGGATTATTGGATCTACTCGATGAGTCGGAGGGCCTGGATCGACGAGTAGGAGCTAGGTGATGAAACCCTAATTTCTAGGGTTTTCACCCTATTTAAAGGACCTTAAAGTCCCTACCTCTAGTCCTTTACCCCCCCCCCCTTGATGGATGAGAGAAACCCTAATTGATATTACCTTGTTCTTGAGTGTTTGTGAGGTTTAAAGAGTGATTTTGGTGCATTTTGTAAAGGAGATGTGAAGTATAAGAAGCTTGGGGAAGAGAGGAGCATGTGGATTTGACTCTGCTTCATCTTGGCATCATTTTAAAGGTATCAAGTCGATACCTTGGCTTATCTTTAGCTAAATCTCTTCGTTTTTGGGTTTAGGGCTATCTTTAGCACATTTAGGAGTCATTTTCAGTATTGGGGCAAGATCGGAAGTTGTAACATCAGATCTGAACTCCCCTTGGTCCCTATAGCTATAAACTTATGAGATTTGGCAAGCTATGGCCCTTCCTTTGGGGTTAAACCTTCCATTTCACTTATTTTTGACATTTAGGGCCATTCATCTATGTAAAGTTTGCAACTTTATGTGGAAAACATGCCCTAGGAGGTTGGATCTGTAATATGGAGCTTTGGGGTGGCTTAAACGATTCTGTATAAGTAATGGACTGCATGAACTCGATGAGTCTCTTAGCCGACTTGGAGGAAGGTTGCACGTATTTGACTCTGAATGAACTCGGCGAGTCAGTCAGAGGACTCGACGAGTCTGTTAGGGTTTTCCCTAAATTCTAGACATGCATGGACTAGATGAGTTGGTTGGAAACTCGACGAGTCGGTTAGGGTTTTATGACTTTATGAGTTTCTAAGGAACTCGACGAGTTGCTTGTTGCACTCAAAGAGTTGGGTTAATGTAGGCTGTTGACTCTGACTGTTGACTTTGACTATGACCAAGGCTTAACCAAGTTTGACTTCTGGGGGATATTTTGGTAATTTGATAATTTATGGAAGAGGATCATCGGTGGATGTAGGTGTTGGACATGGAGTTGTATTTTGTTGAGTTTGAATTTATCACTTCGAACTACTTGTGAGGTGAGTTCTCCTCACTATATCAACTCGGTCTACGGCACGAATGTCAGTCCTTATCGGATTTGTATCCTTACCTAATCCTGGTAGTTAGGATGGTGATATGCTTAGTGACCTGGTTAGATCGGTATCCTGGTATATAGGATGATGATATGTTAGTGACTGATTAGGTATGTATCCTGGTTATAGGATATTGCTATGATTAGTGATTTGTTAGATCGGTTTGATTGTTATATATGCTAGCGTATTATATTTATGTGCACATGTTTGTTTGATTGGGGTTTGGGTTGAGGTGGTCCTGCTTTGTGTTGAAAGCCAACATACCCAAGGTGGTCCGAATAGACTAAAGGTCCTACAAGGGGGTTCACTTAGGTCGAAGGCCCGACGAGCGGTCCAAATAGGCTGTAGGCCCTATGAGGCGGTCCAGATGTGTCGAATGCTTGGAGAGCGGTCCAGATATGCTGAAGGCCTGCGAGACGGTCCAGTCAGGCTGAAGGCTCATTATGCATGTTGTTTGTTTATATGATATGGTTATATATGTATGGAGTTGGTATTTCGGGGGTAACTCACTAAGCCATCAAGCTTACATTTATCGATTTTTGTTTCAGGTACTTTTGATGATCGTGGGAAGGCGAAGGCATGATCGTATAATTCCTCATATTTCATGATTTTATGATTTAATTATGGGATACTCTATCAATATACTATTTTGAAAACAATTTTTGTAATAATCTTTGGTTTTGAAATGTTTTAAAAAGTTTAAATTTCGCATGCTTTTTATGGATGTTACAATGTTGTCAAATGTTGCCACCCCATATTTTAACATTTTATAACATGAAGTGTGTGTGTCTGTGGGGGGGGGGGTGTTCCCATGTTATAACATGATGTTAGGAGGATAGAAAAAAAAGAGAAAAGAAAATGAAATAATTTGATTGGGTGTTGCCTCTCGTGTTCATTAGCACATTTCATAACGCCACATCTCATAACTAGAGGCAGAGGTGGCGTTCCAGCCGTTGTAACGACGTTAAGGAGCCTCCATGTAGGAAAAAAACGTCCCTGTACGGGCGTGTACCGAGTAGTCTTACAAACAGCATAACCCATAATGACATCATAATATTAAATAGTGGAAATTTAGTAAAAGGGCATTTTTGTTCATTATTATGAAACATTGTTATTTTGGTCTTTTTAAGTTTATATAACATTCATTTGATTGTGTATTATAAAGTATTGCATCCTTTTTATTTAACTGAAGTACCATTTTTACGTCATTATTGTTATATCATTTGTTACTATGTAATTTCCTACACACACAACACATACAAGTACCATTTGTATAAGTTTTTATGATGGGTACCAAACACACAACACATACAAGTACCATTTCTGTAAGTTTTTATGATGGGTACCAAATCTGTTTAATAGAAAAAGTAGGACTATAACTATACAAAGTGATAGTTTTTGTTTTCTTTCAGTAAATGACTCTTTTACCCCTAAGCTTAGAGCACTATAAAAAACATTTTAACCCATAATCACCTCTTTTACCCCTAAGCTTAGAGCACTATTAAAAACATTTCAACCCATAATCACATCCGATGTTTTTTTTTTACAGTTATTAATTTTTGTTGTCTGTGTAAAATTTTTAATTGTACTACCCGTGGTTTCTACGGGTTATAACATAGATTAATAGGAATTCACCTTTTGTAACAGAAGCAATATTACTTCAAACAAAAAAAGCTACTTCAAAGAAAAAAAAAGCATCTTAACTAGTATCGGGTGTTTGTTTATTTCTTAGATGGTAACGGCGAACACCATATTCAAATCATAGTCAAACAATATATATAGCAATATATATATTGGTCAAACATTTTTATGAAATCGTATCTCATATAAAATCTAAAAGTTATTTGGAGACATAAAAACTTATATTTCCTTACACAAAGATACTCCTGATGATAAATATATGTACATATAAACGATAATCAACTTGATCCATGCATTTATTTTGAAGTGGGAGAATCTAAATTTTGATACATACGATCTAGCTAATCCATCATTTTCTCACAGTATTTATGGGAAATGAATGGAGGGGGCATGGCAAGTGTAATCAAAATACAAGATCAGAGTTACCTTCAATTGATTTCAAAGAAATGATAAGATAATTAACATATTCTCACTCAGATTGTCCATGCATGGATGCTTAAAAATGCAATACTATTCTTAAGTAGTACTCCTCCTTTTCTCAATCTGCAGGGTTTCTTGATGATAGTCTTGTTGAGCTTGTCTTGTTTATCATTTGGATTGAAAATCACAAGTGTTGCCACCTACGATGTAACATCTTATGGTGCAAAAGGAGATGGCAATACAGATGACTCCAATGTAAAATAATAATATCTTCAAATTTTGAATCAGAAGAGATTGATGTATCATGCAAATTAAAGAAAGCAAAAATCAGTTAACTTTTTTATGTACGTTCAATGTTTTAGGCTTTCCTTCGAGCATGGGATGATTTATGTGGAGATATGTCGCCAGAACCGACATTGATAATTCCATCAGACAAGACATTTTTGATAAACCTGGTGGCATTCAAAGGTCCATGCAAATCCCCAATTGTAAATATTAAGGTAAAATTAACAGTTGTCTATCCTTTGAGGCTAAGATGTTAATTGATAAAGTGTTGATTAAATATCATTTTCTTATAAAATTGTTATGACTAATCTAATATTTTTTAAATGATGGGTAGCTGTTGGGTAACATCGTTGCACTGAAGACTCTCGATGGATGGAAAGGTTGCATTAACAATAACATTTGGATATACTTCACATCCGTGCAAGGACTCAAGATCCAAGGACCTGGTCAAATTTATGCCAAGTCTCGATTTGGTGGAAAAAGGAGGTCGAATTAATTTAATATCAAACACTTATATTAAATGGAAACATAAAAAGTAAAAACCATCCAATTCATAGTTCCTTTTAATTTGCAGGGGCAACTTAAAACCAATGCATGCAATCGCCCAATTGTAAGTCGTCTACTTTTTACAATGTTAAGGACTTGCATGAATTTAAGTTTCGTGAAAACTGACATGTACATTTTTTTAGGCTTTACATTTTAATTCTTGTAACGGCCTTCAGTTGAGAGGTACAAAACATATCAACAGCCCAATGCTACATTTGAGTATCAATGGTTGTAAAGGTGTAGATGTTGGAAATATTCAAATTTTTGCTCCTGGAGACAGCCCCAATACAGATGGGATAGACATCGGTGATTCTTCCCATGTTAATATCCATGATTCTAACATTCAGACTGGTATGAGAATAATAGCATCCTTGTTTGTTAAGGAGTTATTCTATAATGTATAAAAAAATCTTTATAATGCACTTCTTTTTGTGGAAACTAAAACAGGTGATGATTGTGTTGCTATTAATGGCTGTCACTACTAGAAAACTAAGTAATTACCTATAGTAAATCCGTAGGAACAAGGCATTACCTACAGATTTCCTACAAAAACGGGTTGTAGGAAAAACCCTTATGGAAATTAGCTACAAACGTTCCTACGCACTTCCTACGGAATATTCTGTTACAAATTTAATTAAGTACGGAATACCTACGGAACACGTTAACTACGGAGTACTTATAGATTACCTACGGGTTATTTAGCTACGGAACTCCTACAAAATACATACGGATTATTTTCCTACGGATTACCTACAAACTGATTTTCCTACATAATACCTACCAACTACTTTACCTACGGATTACCTACAAGCTGATTTTCATACAGAATACCTACCAACTACTTTACTTGCGGATTACCTACAAACAAATTTTCCTACAGAATACCTACCGACTGATTTTCCTACAGAATACCTACCAACTATTTTACCTACAGATTACCTACTAACATTTTTTCCTACGGAATACCTACCGATTTTATTAGATTTTATTTCCTACCGAATACCTAATAAATATTTATTTCCTACAGATTTTCTATGAATTTTTTACCAGTTTTTATTGCTATATTAAATTTATAATTCCTACAGAATTATAATTTAAAAAATATCCAAAATTTATGCTAAAAAAACCAAATAAATAATTAAAATAATAGTCAAATACCATTACATTCATTACCATTAAAATAGTCACTAACATGCCATTCATACATTCAAATACTCAAAATACCATTACAATATCATTACAAAAACTAAGAACTAATCAATAACATTACATTAATTTAGTGTTCTAAAACAAAAACTAAGAACTACTTGGTCGATTACCGGACGGATTAATTTGTTTCATAAAGGCCGCCAATTGTCGTTGCACTTGCAATTCTATTTCATTTCGCGTTTGTTGCATTTGAAAATTCATTTACCTAAATATATCAAGAGAAACACATGCAGTTAGTAAATGTAATTCAACTTTAAACCATGATAGCAATGTACTTTACTTTTAATTCAATATAAAAACACACTATTGCTAATAAAAATGTACATTGTTTTTAACATCCATAATAATAACTTTTTGTATGCATAATAATAACATGCTATATTTTTATCCATTACACCATTGTACTTTACATTTCCAATCCATAATATCAATATACTTGAATTATTATCAATAACAACAATTTACTTTACCAAATATCAATAATAGCAACATATTGTAATTTTCACCCATTATAGCATTATGTTTTACCTAATTTAAAAATAGCAACAAAGTATCATTTTCAACCATAATAACAATGCACTTTACCTAATATTATAATGACAGCGTATTTCAATTTTCACCCGTAACAACAATGTACCTTACCAATATGAACATATATTTTCAGCCATATTAAGTACCTCTTTCGTTGATTTTTTTTTCTCTATAATATATTATGTAAATAATAGTACCTCCTATTGTGACCTTTCAAAGTCAGCAGAAGCTGAAGTTGACTCATAAGAATATGCACCCGTCATCATAAAGTGAAGATCCGAGTATCCTGCCCCATAGATAGGACCTTTTTATTTCCCGCCTTTCCTAGGCAATTGTGTTTGGGTCCACAATTCAGGATCATTCACATTATTTTGAGTCGGATCATCACCATATTTTTTAGATAGGGCTATGTTATATGATTCTTACAACATACCAAAAGAAAGTTTTTGTTATTGTACTAAAAAGTAAAAACTAATATTAGTAAATATATAAAAAGATAAAGACAAATTACGATCGCCACTCTAGATGTCTCATTCACAAAATCCACTCGCACCTCTTTATCTCCCCCAAAATATATTTTCTTAGATTCAGCGCTAAGATGTGTCTTATAATAAAGATCAATGAATGAGGGGTCTTCACCCATCAATTGTTTCTATATAAATGACACAATATAATTGATATAATTAGTGTTGAAATAAAAATGTATCACTAAAATCTATAATTGGGATTACTTACCAATTTAAGACGGTGCTCCTCCAATCCAATGCTACCACCCGTATGTCTGGCTGCCCTCCAGAATCAGTGTTACGGTTGTTTTTTCCGCTTTTGGACAACTTTTTCCACTCATCCGTGTCCCATTTCTGTAATATATGTGTGTGTGTGTGTTTATATATATATATATATATATATATATATATATATATATATATATATATATATATAATTAGAATACAAAATAAAAAACAACAAAATAAGCAATAATGTATTAGATTCCTTGCCCTGCACAAACATCACCAAACATCTATATGTATTTCAGCAGGATTGTAATTTGCAAGAATCTCAAATTTATCAGTAATCTCTGTGATAACGTGGACAACTTTTCTTGCAGAATTTACCGATCCTTCCCTAGCATCCCTCGTTCTACCCCTGTAGCGATCTTTCAGTGTATTCTCAAAACCTTCACGAATTAACCCTTCTTCATTTGGATCCCACCGGTATTGAGTCTGTAAAAAATAAAAAGTAAAAGTTTAAAATGAAAAATAATAGTGAATGAGAAATAGATAATAAATATAAATAATTAATATATTACCCTAAAACGCTCAAACATTTGATTGACAACTTCCTTCGGAATTTTTTTATAAGTAATCCAAGGTTCATTTATAGACTGCCAAAATATTTTTATGATCGCCCGATGAATACTTTGTCTCCCAAAACTACAATATTGAAATAACCATATAAGGATAATTATAACATCAAAAATAGTAAATTTATAATAATAATAAAAAAAAGACTTACTCTTACCCCTTTCGTGTGATAAATGGCCTATGAGAGCCTTTCGAATCTACATCATTTTATCCACCATGTGTACCCGAATAATGGGGCATCTGAACCATTGGTGATTCAGACTCATGCCCATGCTCAGGCTCATTTTCATGCTCAGGCCCATTATAGAAAAAATCACTAGCAGGGTCTTCATTGTTGCTTGTCATCTCATAACCATATGAAATAGCATTCCCATCATTCTGTACCACCCCTGTATCTGCTATTGCATCAGTCAAGCCCATGTGGGTATTTATGTCACTCATGCTACTACTACCTAAGAATCCTAACCTTGCCATCCTAAGTGAAGTGTGTGAAAGGCCACCCGACAAAGGGATGCGTGCAAGGACATTAGGGCCGGGCGATGACCTAGCTCCCAATACAAAACCACCGCGTGGAAGGCCACTAGGATCAAGCAAAGGTGATAACCTTGTAACGACCCGTTCCCGGTATGTTGATTTATTGGTAATTATAGTGAGTTTTTCAAGAGGGACTCGGCGAGTTCTAGCCTGACTCGCCGAGTAGGGTCGCGTCTGAGGGCACGCGTGAGCCGGGGACTCGACGAGTCCATATCCCCGACTCGGCGAGTCCATCTGTCTGGGTGAAACCCTAAATTCCCCGGGTTGCCCACTATTTATACCACCTTATAGCCCCCATTCTCGCCTCCCTCACCCTGAGAACGCAGTGATAGAGCCTTAAACCTCCCTTGAAGAGCTTATATGTGTTTTGGTGCCATTTTGTGAAGGTGTGAAGAAGGAGAAGAAGGAAGAAGCAAGGAGAAGTGTTGTAGTGCAAAGATCCAAGGCCAAATCAGAGTTAATTGAGGTATTTCCGGAGTTCCATCTTGTTATATGCTTTAAACTTCCATTAGAGCTCTCCTAAGAGCTAGTTGATGCTTGTTCCAAGCCTTGCACTTGCATGAACGTCTTATTAAGTCGATATATCTATGGATCTGAATGTTGGGGTGTTGTAGAGCCCAGATCTACTGTCTTTTTGGAGTTATATTGCATGATAACCATAGATCTACCCATTTTATGCATCTTTTAGCCTTATTTCCCTTATTCATGAGGTCGTGCACGTAAAGTTGGAAACTTTACGTGGTAAATCAGCTTATTGGACCCAGATCTATCAATTGTATGTGTTGGATTCAAACAAAATCAAGTAAAAATCTGTTGCATGGCGGCAACTCGGCGAGTCGGAAGAATGACTCGACGAGTTGGGTCGCGAGTCCCGAGTTCTTCAGTTTTATCAGTGTCGAGTGGACGAGGTGAGTTAGAGAGTGGACTCAGCGAGTTGAGGGTGAACTCAATGATGGAGGGACTCGGCGAGTTGTTCATCAACTCGGCGAGTCCAAGGCAATCTTCTTGGGATCAAGAACAACTCGTCGAGTCTGTTCATACGACTCGGCGAGTCGGATGAAGATTGTCTGAGTTCTTGGATCAAGAGGGTACTCGTCGAGTCGATGCCAGACTCGACGAGTAGTAGTGAGTAAAAGTGAAAAGTGAGAGTAGGACTCGACGAGTTGGGTGGCCCAACTCGGCGAGTCAGCCCAAAAGAGAGTTGACTTTGACCAAGGGTAAAAGAGTCATTTTACCCCAAGCACCGTGTTTAGTATTTGATTGAGTGTGTTTATGGACTTGTAGCCGAGGAGATTCAGGAGCAGCCGCCGCTAGCTTTCCGAGCCACACACTCAGCAGCCAGCTTACGAGGTGAGTTTCCTTCCGGTAGGAACGGGTCTAAGGCCACAATGCCGGCCCGTTCAGTTAGCAGTAGTTTCCGGATTTAGGTCCGATGCAGTAGTTAGTATGTTCGATGCCTTCGTGGTTCGAACAGGATTTGTGTGCTATGTTTTATGTGTTAAGTATTATGTGTTCCGGGCCACGGCTCGATGTAGAATGTCGTATATGTGTTACGCTAGTTGATGTGTTATGCTATGCCATGTTCAGTCAGTCAGTTCCGGACTTCGGTCCGATGCAGTTAGTTCCGGACTGCGGTCCGATGCAGGGGACAAGGTCCCAGTTAGTTCCGGACTTCGGTCCGATGCAGTTAGTTCCGGACTTCGGTCCGATGCAGGGGACAAGGTCCCAGTCAGTTCCGGACTTCGGTCCGATGCAGTTAGTTCCGGACTTCGGTCCGATGCAGGGGACAAGGTCCCAAACAGTTCCGGACTTCGGTCTGATGCAGTTCCGGGCTTCGGCCCGATGCAGTGGGCAAGGCCCAATATGTGTTTATGTGTTATTGTATGGTATATGGTAGTTTGGGGGAGCTCACTAAGCTTCGTGCTTACAGTTTCAGTTTTGGTTTCAGGTACTTCCACAAGCAAAGGGAAGAGCTCGGGGTGACAGCATCGCACACACCGCAGCATAGCTTTTATCATGGGGATGTCTCTTGATGTTTTGGATTGATGTAGTATGATACAGTTTTCCGCACAATATTCTATTATGTTTTGGGGATACATCGCGTGTGTTTATGTTATGATACTTATATTATGGTTTTGATTATATGGAAAAATGAAAATTTTTGGGTCGTGTTTTCGGGTCGTTTCAGACCTGGATCCTGGTACAGAACCACCTGTAAGAGGGATGTGTGGAAGGCAACTAGGATCAGGCAAAGGTGATGACTTGGCTCCTGGTACAGAACCACCTGTGAGATGGATGCATGGAAGGACACTAAGATCAGGTAAAGGTGATGACCTGGCTCCTGGTACAGAACCACCTGTAAGAGGGATGCGTGGAAGGCCACTAGGATCAAGCAAAGGTGATGACCTAGCTCCTGGTACAGAACCACCTGTAAGAGGGATGCGTTGAAGGCCACTACGATCAGGCAAAGACGATGGCCTACCACCCGACGAAGGACGAACCGGAAAAAAGGTTATGTGCTATGCCTTTATCCGACATGCTGGGTTTATAGAACAAAAATAGTCAAATGTGTTAGATGATAATGAAAAATAACAAATAGACTAACGTCTACATACCATATTATAACTTAAAAGTAAAACTGGATAACAAATATATTAAAGTGTATATACCATATAACATAAAACAAACTTCCTAACATTCGTCCTCATCTGGATCATAGTAGTCAAAATAAAATGGTTCGTCTCTATCATCTTCATATGTATCATCTTCTTGGTTTTCCGCTTCAGAACCCTCACTCTCATCGGAAGATATTTGCTCAAAGTTAGTTCTATTTGAGGCTAGGCTTAAACGTTCACTAACATTTACTTCATTTAGTAACTCAAACCACTCATCAAGATGAAAGACTCCATTTGCTTCAGTGCTTCCATCAAGCGCAACTTCCGTTTCAGCTTCGGTGACTTCATATACCCCTCTTGGTTTTGTCTTGACAGCCGCCCAACGATCTTTTAATTCATTTGTCACCGCAGGATATGGTGTATAAAATACTTGTTCCGCTTGTGATGCCAAACAAAAAGGGTCATTAGTTTGAATACGAGACGTAGGTTTAACATCAACCAATTTATTTTTGTCAACTACTACACCACGGATATTATCAAACCAAGTGCATTTGAATAGCACAACAGTCGAGTACCCAATGCCATAATACTCAATCTCTAGGATCTCATCCAATAAGTCGTAGTAGTCTGACTCTTCGCCATTATATATCTCACCCCTCACGTATAGTCCATAGTTATTCGTTGCACGTCCTTTACCATATTCTTGTGTGTGGAACTTATAACCATTTACAAAGTATCCGTTGTAAGACCGAGCATCGTTTGAGGGCCCATTTTCTAAAGTTTCTAAATGTTTAGCACGTCCATCAGTTAAGTCCCTCGATACCTACATTAAAGAGCATATATGCAAAATGTTTGTTGAAAAAAACACAAAAATTAACAAGTATGATTGAATTGGTTTTACTTACTTTGTATTTAAACCATTCTGAAAAGTATTTATCTCTAAGTAGCAAAATTGGTTCGTTTTGATATGATGCTTGGGACGCTCGATCAAATTCTGGGATGAAAGGGGCAACTGCTACACAATTTAGTAGGATGTAAGTGTGTGCTTTGTGAAGTTCTTCATGTTTCAAGAGTCTTTTCTTTCCACCCTTTTCATGTAATCTTCTTGATGGAAAGGAAAATACGCTTAATATATCTCCACTTGAAGAGTTGTCATGTTGTGGTGCGAAATTTCGTGGCTCTTGATTATGGTGTGTCTCAACCGTTGGGGCAAAATATAAAGAACAACAGGTAGCGATTTCATTCACTAGATGTTCATTGACGATTGAACCTTCAACCCTTGCTTTGTTCCTAATTCTTCTTTTTATTATGCCCAACTTTCTATACTTAGAAATTATCAAGAACATGTTATGAATACTAAAAAGTATATGTAAAAGTTTAATACTTAATATTACAAACAAAATGATTACCTCTCGTATTGATACATCCATCTATATTGCACCGGACCACCAAGAATTGCTTCATTAGCTAAATGTATGATTAGGTGTTCCATGGAATCAAAGAAACTAGGAGGGAATATTTTCTTCAACTTGCAGATGGTTTGAGCAATACTGCGTTTCATGTTGTACAAGTCCTCCATATGCAATGTTTTTTAGCATAATACTCGAAAAAACATGCAAAACTCTATTATGGCCTCATATACCATATCTGGAACAAACCCTCTAATAGCAAGTGGAAGCAACCGTTGCATAAAGACGTGACAGTCATGGCTCTTGAAACTGTAAAAACTACCATTTTTTACGTTCACACAAATCCCTATATTTGATGCATATCCGTCTGGATATTTCAACTTTTTCAGCCAAGCACAAACTTTTTTAACATTGACCCTCTCTAAAGTGTAGTCTCCTTTCTTGATCCAAGCCTTCCCTTTTTTGTCCCGGACGGGGTTTAGAAGAGGTCGGTCACATAGCATCTCAAGATCTTGTCTTGCGCTCAATTTATCTTTAGATTTGGGGGTGTCCATACTTGTATGAAACATATTTTCAAACACATTCTTCTCGATATGCATCAGATCAAGGTTATATCGGATCAATAAATGATGCCGATAGGGAAGCTCCCAAAAAATGCTCCTCTTTACCCAATTATGTGTCACTCCAAAACCATCTGTATTTATATAATTTGGACCATACGGAGTCCCTTCATAAACAATGTTAAAATATTTGACTGTCTGCCAAATTTCATCTCCGGTTGCATACGGAATATCTACTTCGCTCTTTGATGTCTTGTTTTTCTTAAAAATTAATCTCATCTTTTTTCAAAGTGTGGCCTTTG